TTTTCAGATTTCTATGTTGTCTTGGTGGCAGAGGAAAGCTGCTTCAGCATTTGTAGCTGAGCCTCCATCATCATCAGTGGATGAAGCTCTTCAGAACTTTCATAAGGTCAGCCCTTGAAAAAGAAACTTGCAATAAACTTTGCTCAAAAAATGCTATCCTAAATTAAAACAGGTTAACTTTAGGAGGTTAGAAACCATAACTACAGGAGTTTGTTTCAGTTTTGTTTGTATGAAGTGAGAAGGGTTGTTGTTTTCCTTATCGCGTTCTTAGCGTAGTGTTCAACCGAAACACGAAGAGTATGCAAATCGATGGTTTATTTTCCTTCAGTGTCGAATGGTGAAACTACATGTAAATCAAGTACAGATTACGATGAAACGAAAACAGAAAACAGAAAATACGACAAGGCAAAAACAATAAAATAACGGAACGATGAAAACTTACATGGATGGTGCTGCGATGAATGATAAACTGACAAACTGAGGTGATAAATTAAAGTGTAACCTACCGAAACTAAAAAACACAACACACGAGCTCTAAACCGAACGGGCCTGGGAAACCAAGCTGACCGAGTGGGTCCCAGGGCCCACTGACAAAAAAAGGGCGGCAAAACCCGTAACACTCCTCCCTTAAGGTGGCAGCCCCATTCCAGGGTGGAGAGTGGCATTGTGAGTCAGTCAAGTGTCTCTTTCATACGAAGTCAACACAGATGACCTGACCATGGTTGGAAACTGGACATTTTGACTTAGTGTCAAGCGTGTCGAACATATGGCATTTTTTCTCAATTACCTAATTACCAAAAAGAAAAACAAGAGATTTTTTTTAATTGGTCATGATTCTGAACCACTGTAAGTTACGCTTGATTACTTAACTTATTGTCTTTCTTTCAGGCTGAAGAACTCCAACCGGGATTTTGGCTGACAAATTCGTTTTGGATTGGAAAGGTGATGAAATATTCTCAGCTATCATCTTAAGTTCATTTTAAGTGATCCCGTGAAGACAAACACGGAACATTGCAACAGATTTTATAAAGACCTTTACTCACGTTTCTGCATCTCAAATAGGTCCGAGAAACTTTTTAAACAAAGGATCCCTTTCTACGTAGAATTAATTGGAGCATACTAAAGCATTGAACATGTTATCTACTTATTAGTGCTACAAACAAAATGGAGATGTGCCTAAGGCCAAAGAATGGTTAAAGAAAGCGCTCTCGCTCCCAGTCTCCAGTGATGACGTAAGTAGAATAGAAACTTTTCTGTTTTCCACATAATTGAAAAGCTTACAACTGTCGATGTTGTCGCAATATTGAGAGATAAGAAATCCACTGATTTGGAATGTGGTTCACAATTGCCGTATTCCATCGTAGACGCCACGTAAGAATTTCTACTTGGGAATTCGTCAAAGCCAGAACTCAAGAAAGAACTTAAGACTCGTGAATGTTTTAACTATTTCTCTAAAATTTCTTCTCTGTGATGAGGAGTGCTTAGGCAGAACCAAACAAACAATCACGTTTGACTTTTTGAAAATGTTATTTCTCATTGCCGAAAATTTAGGACAAAGAATCAAGCGAACAAGCTCAGAAACTGCTAGTCACCCTATAACGAAAGATTTCATCGGCTACAGCATGTGCTGTCCCTTGATTGGTCAATGTGTGTCACGCGGTTTATTCAAGGCCCTTCAGTGGACATGTCGGTAAAATTGTCCTATTTTCTTTTCAAGAGCAAAGGTTTCAAGCTCTCTTTACTTTTGAAACAGTGTCTTTTTTATTTCAAATTTGATATTTTGTTTTCAGAGAAAAAAACCAATACTTAAATATATACTAATTGTCTTAAGATAATATTTATCAATAAAGAGACTGATGGTCAGCAACGTCATTTGTATTTCAACAGAATACTCTGTCTTTAAAAGACAGTGACAGCATTATTCATTTCCTTCATTAAAATCACAAAGTTTATCCCGGTTATTAAGTCTCTGAGGGAAATAAATGAATTTGGCGATAAATGGAGTTTGTAGCTGTGTTATTTAATTATATGAGCTTCATTCAACAACTGGTAAACTAAGAGGCTACTTTATAAGTACAAAAGAGAATACTCCAAAACTACAATTTTAAATCTTTTATTTAATTCGTTAATATTTGCAACCTTTATTATATCTCAATGCTGGACTTGTGAATATTGCCGAACAAATATTCGCACGTAGTGAAAAGAAAGCTTTTAACAGTTTTTTTTTTCTTCTTACTGGATTTGAAGCATCAAAGATGGCTATCTCATTTCCCCCAATTTCCCTTTTGTGTCTCAGCGCCACATTTACCAGCGCAATGCACTTAACTAATGCATTAATAGTCTCTATTATAACCCTCTTTTTTATATCTATCCTACATTATTGGTTAAAACTCTTAACTTTGAACAAATCAGGTGGCCTGCATTAAGTGAAACCCCCCCCCTCCAGCAATAATGCTTCGCTTTTAATCTCTAAGGCGATGACAAAAAGCGAAGTTTCCGTTGTTACTTTTGCTTATCCGAAGACTTCCTCTTTTGCCTATTTTCTCCCATTTTATTTGAGTAAAATTTTAGTTTAATGTTAAAGCCTCTGTGAAGTCTTGACCGACCAAGCTAAAGTTCTTATTTCGATGACTTCGATTATGAATCCTAGCCAAATGTTTAATGGCGGATCCTGATTACACTTACTCGGCGCTAAGTGGAAGCACGAAGGAAACAGAATGCTTCCAAGATATGATGAACGTTTTTCTGTTTGTGTACTATTTTTCCTTGCGACAGTAATAAGCTGATATTCAAAAGATAAATAATGTTCTTAGTTGATTAGTAGCCTGGTTTATGGGTTTTTCTCTTTTATATTTAACACCAACTTCCACTTCAAAAATGTTTTCATTGGTGTTAAGAAGTATACCTTGTCATCAAAGATGCCAGTTTGGATCCAATAGGTGTACTTGAGAAAGTTAATATTCACTTAAAGCGATTCCATGGGTTGTCAGTTCTCTCTTTTGTGAATAGAAAATTGAAAATTCAATAACTACGCAGCTGAAATAACGACACCTAAATATGCGTATCGATAATTTCCTTGTAACCAACGTTTTGGTGAAGCAGAAGTTTAATTTTTAGAGTGTTTTTATACTTTTGAATGGACTCCCTTTTCTATTTTTCAAATATTTCACCGTTAGTTCTGAAATTGGCTTTCCTTCTGATGGATTAATTTCCGTATGTACCTCGGTTTGATAAATATTTCATTTTCCGACGGTGTCTTAGCAACGTGGATTCGCCGCGGGTACACATTGTATAGATTTCAATGAAGAAGAAATTTTGGTATCACTAACTGTTCAGATTCCCCTCCAGAGCTTTCTACACCTTTCGGCTTTTCTTTCTGAGTTCTTTCATGCGATCTGTTTTGACGTTCGTTAGAAGTGTGCTTGTCGTGTTTATTATGTCCCTTGTGCAATTTGTTTTCCTCTTCACCCTCTTTGTGCCGCATTCGATGCTTTTTAGGTCCAGATACAGACTGCTTTCGCCATGTCGCCTCACGTTTCGCTTGTGGCTCCAAAATCTGATGCAGTAATTTCCTTTTCCTTACCTCTATCTCCCACAGGGACTTGCTCAGCCGATTTCTTTCATTACACAGCCTCCTTGAGTACGCCATTCGAATGTCTTCCAAGTTTCGATCGAGTACTAAATTTAACTGACGTTGTCGTTCGTAATAACCACGAACATGTTCGAGCTGCTTCGAAGGATTGCTCCACAGAATAGCAGGAAGAAAGCTGTCTTCCTCTGAAATTGGTGCGTACATGTCTTATTCCATTTCCTTGGCGCGTTATCCCTCTTTAATCCATGACATCCAGATTATTAAACATCCTCTTAGTTGCAGTTCCGCGAGTCAAGTTTACATTAGCTTGTTGAGCGCCGCAGCTGTCAGTGTCTAAATTGACTGCCGCCGTTTGCGTATTAAAAGCTTTGACAGCTGTAAACACAAAAACACTGACGCTGCTACTGACAGTTTGGCTACGTCACCCAAATGATTACTATCATTGAGCGACTCTTAAGCGGTTTAGAGTGAGAATAAATCCGTGATCGTAAATGTTGCCGTCGATTAACTTTAGTGGAAGTGCAAATAATGTAACACCCTGAAAAACACAACAGTTGTACCAACTCTCCGTCGGTGAAAAGTCAGTGCTCCTATATCTATTTTCGGTCGCCTAACATTTTGTCTTTTTTTAACAACGAATATATTTCTAGTGTTTTGTTTTTAACAAAATTTTGGCTCCTTCAAAATTCGTCGCATTTTATTTCAGTTTTGCTCTTTCGAGCGATTTTCTTTACCTCGTTGACCAAAGAAGCCGTTTGTGAGTCTTGGTTTTAGCTTTTTTTGTACAAATTAATATTAAATGACACTAAGTAAATTTCTGAAGCCTTCTTTGTCGTTGGTAATTTGCAAAACAAATGCAGTGTTTAGACGATTGTTGGTTGTAAAGGATGTGAGTGTATAACCTGCCAGGACTGAGGCCTCGCCAATTGTTAGCGCAGCGGCATCAGAGTCTCGTCGCCCGCGAATAAGTTTCAGGCCTTGAGCAAAACGAAACAAGCGACGGGTCGCTTGAGCTCCTCTCGCCAGCTTTCGTTGCGCCGAGGCTTCAAATGCATTCGCGGGCGAAGAACACTGCGCAAGCGTTAAATAATTAAGGGCTGTACGGGCTAGTCAGTGTATTTCTCTTTCTGTTAGAGGATGGTAAATCGATCCAAACGAAAGATTTCCCTCGTTTCTGTTCTTGGCATTCGTTTTTTTTTTATTTCTCTTCTAAATTTCCACGTTATCAATCATAAATTGCTTACGGTGAAAATCCCCAATTACTTCCTACTGAACGCCAAGTAAAGGACTACAGGAATTGCAATTTTTTGGAAGAAAGTGGAAAGTTCCTTTTCCCTGTTGACTGTTTTGGTTTGTTTGAAAATTCCTCGTGTTATGAATAGTACCTAGAGAGAAACTCTATCCACAATTCCACAATATGAAAATAAGTAATTTAATGTTCGTTTCAAAACAACCGTTTTTTTAAAAGCGGTGCCGCAGTTATGTGCACAACGCAAAAATTTTATCTTCTCTTGTCGCGTGAAGCCGACTGTTGGCGGT